AGGCTCAGAGTAAAAGTACCGCACTCATTTTAGGGTTCCACAAACTCAATAGAATTCCAGGTTATTTTGCATGGCAATTGCCAATCTGTTTGTAAGGCTAACCCCAAATATGCTTTGAAACAATCAGATCCTCAAGCTCTCTTCCCCGCCCTTCTCCTTACAACTACTTTAAAACCTAAAATCCAGGAAGGCCAATCAATAGGATCACATCCCTGTTAATGCCCAACCACATCTCAGCCATGTACACAATGCACAGCTGTGCCTTCTCTTGTAATGGCCTATCCAGGGCAAACCCTAATACTTCGGGGACAGAGACTTTACTATCAGACAATACCTAGGGATCATATAAAACAAGAGCTCATAATTGGAGTTCTGAATCTTCAGATTCCAAGAGAGGTACAGAAACAGTGTGTCTTTCACTTTGTTTTCTTTATTCAACTGATTTCATAATTACTGTATATAATTATCCTATATGCTGTATGTGATTTTGCTGCTCTGGATATTCTGTTGCATAGCATTACTGGCAGCTTAATATTACTTACATGTTCCAACAGTATTCCAGTAATACTTCATCAGTTTTGGCTAGCTCTGCTTGCATAACTGGTATAGCAATAATATAATGGAGCTTCCACTCTATTCTGCTAGTGGATTTTAAGTTTAAGACTGACTTTTCAATTTCCTAATCACTGAATCTTGCCATTCTTTACCTTTCTAGGAAGGCAATAGCCCTCAGGGCAATAGCCCAGGAATGAAGATCAGCCCAAATCAGCCAAAGAAAAGCAGTTTTTTCCGATGTGCTCTTCTGTGAGGGGCACAGCCTTAACATGAGGTGCTGTTCAACCTTTCTGGACTTGCCCATTTCCATGGGCTTTTTTCCTCTCTGGATCTGATCCTACACCAGTCTAATGCAATGGGACAAAGTGGCTCCTTTTCATAATCAACTCTTCTGCGATAGAGAAGCATTAATTCCATCACTGCTCCTGATAAATGTGGGGCGTGTAGATCAAGAAATCAGATACCGGACATTTTGAAACAGGCTTTTCTTTTTCTCTCGGGAGATGACTGCTATCATGGCTAATAGAAAAAGTGATGATCAGCCTAATTCTAAATGATTTTCCTCTGCCTTCCCAATCTATGAAGGAGTATAGGGTGTAGCCTGTAAGACAGAATGAAGCACTGACATTTGTAGCGGATTACTCACCCTCCCTCTTGGAATCAGGAAAAACAAAATTGGTCTGTTCTTGGCACTCATTCTAGACACTCCCATAATAGAAATTGCACAATGTCTCGAAATAAAAGTAAATTATTTTTTTAGAGAAATCTGTGTGTATTCTTACATATACGGGTCAGATTCCTTTCCTCTTGTGCTTCCTTCTTGGTGTAGGAGATTGATGCAGGGAGAGTGTCATTTGACTGATTAGATAAATGTTTGATTTTGAACTGTGAGCTACAAGTCCTTGTGATCGTATAAAGGTTCCCAGCAGGTTAGACAACATCAGTTCACTTTGCTTACTGCACCTTGGTCTGACTGCAGTTCTTTGGCATTAGACTCTTGTCTGACTTACAAATAGCTGCTTTCTCCTTTGAGAAAGTTACTTGGGTTCAGCCTTTTCTATAGGATTTTCTGAAATTCCCAGGCAAAAATCAAACTTACTATTGACCCTGTGAACATATATTGCCACAATAGAAAACTGATTTTGTAACTTCTTCAATGTACTCAGGATTCCAGTATAACTTCTGTATCTCTGGAAGACTCACTTATATGTTGGAATCTATGTATTTACAAGCATTTATTATTAAAGGGCAATTTAGGCTCCATGACAAAAAACTATTTTATCTGGGCCAGGGTTGCTTCCTATGCTTTCTCCGCGCAGCTCTGTGTGGCAGTACCAAAGCAATAGATAAGGAAGTTACTTAATGAAACTTGTACTTCCTTCTTCAAGATTACCGGAATAGATTTCCATAACATTTTTAATCCATCCATTAAATGAATAGTAAGTTGTCAAAATATGATCCTGATTTCTGACAATGCCCAAATGTGGGGAAAACTGGACCAAAGATAATCGATGTTTTTTGAGAGAGATAAAGCCAAGAATGAATCCATTTCCTTCTGTGAAGGACAAAGATACAAATTGTACTAAAGATTTAGCATTCTCTCCCAATAATTCTGATTAAAAAATAGCAAATAAAATTATCTCCGTTACCTAGGAGTATTTCCAGTTGCAATCCTTAAAATAATATTCTGGGTTGTGTGCTGATTAAGAGGTTTGCACACCTATTTTAGGACAGATCAGACCACTGTGTGCTCCATTTTTCATTTATTTAATGTGTTTTTATAACATTTATATATCACTTTGATTATTCATCGATGAGGGGAGGGCATTGTACAATACTTAAAGCCACCAAGGAAGCTATTAGTCTTTTCACTGACTTGGTTATATGTATTGTGAGAACCAAGCCATGAAATATTAGTTTCACCAGCATCACAACTTTGCCACTAAATAAGATAAGATAAATTTATTGTCATTGTACTCAGAAACCTGAGAACAACGAAATAAGGTGCTCTTTCACAACATACAACTGAACAACACCAAAAGACATATACAAATAACAATGTAAAACAAATTAAAACAAATAACAATTAAAAACTGTACAACCAGGATATATATATGTTAAGACCACCAGATTCATAACTCTGCATTTAACCTGATCAGCACTTGGGTAAAAGCTATATTTAAATCTACATGTCCTGGCTTTCAGCACTCTATATCGTCTTCCTGATGGTAGGATCTCAAACAACGAGTGGCCTGGATGTGAAGGGTCTCTCACGATCTTTTGTATCTTCCTTCTACATCCCATGTTATACAACTCCTCCAATGAGGGAAGAGGACATCCGCTGATCTTTTGTGCCCTTTTTATCACTCTTTGGAGTGCCCTTTTCTCTGCCTCTGTATAACTCCTAAACCACACACAGAGGCAATAAGATAAAATGCTCTCTATAGAGCTTCAATAAAAGGCAACCAACAGACTCTCTGGCAGTTGTGATCTTAAAAGTCTTAAAAAATACAGTCGTTGATGAGCCTTTTTTCTAGGGCTAAAGTATTTGCCCCCCATGTTAGATCTTGTTTCAGGATGATACCTAAAAACTTACATTCTGCCACCTGTTCTACCAAAACACCATCGATATATAATGGCTGGATATCCGAACTGCTCTTCCTGTAATCCACTATGAATTCCTTCGTCTTATTATATTAAAAATAAGATTGTTTACTTTGCACCAGAGGGACAGCTGATGAATTTCATCCCTGTACGCAGACTCATCATTGTCAGAAATGAGCCCCACCAACGTATCATCTGCAAACTTAATGTTCTTATTACTCAGATGAATAGAGGTACTCAGACGTATAAATAGTGAATAAAAGTGGACTCAATACACAGCCCTGAGGAATGCCAGTATTGAGGATCTTCACAGAAGAGATATGTTCATTCATCCTAACCCTTTGTGAATGATGTGATAGAAAATTCAGAATCCACCAACATATGGAGTCCAGTAGCTTCAGATCCTTAAGCTTAGACATCAATCTGTGGGGTAATATTGTGTTGAAAGCAGAACTAAAATCAACAAATAATATTCTGACATACATTCCTTTTTTCTCCAAATGAGATAGGGCAGTATGAAGAACAGTATTGACAGCATCCTCAGTAGATCTGTTTGTTCTATAAGCAAACTGATAATTATCAAAGGTAACAGGAAGGCAAGAAATAATATATTTCCGAACTAACTGCTCGAAGCACTTCATTATCACAGAAGTCAATGCCACCGGCCTGAAGTCATTTAAAGCATTTGCAGGTGACTTCTTGGGTACTGGAACAATAATAGAAGCCTTCAGACAAGTTGGAACAATAGACTGTAGCAAAGAACTATTGAAAATCTCAGTCCACACCCCGGCTAACTGATCCGCACATTCTTTTACTACACAACCAGGAATGTTATCAGGTCCTGCAGCTTTTCTAGAGTTTACTGCTTTCATTATACACCTAACATCATGCTCCTTCACAACAAGAGGAGCACAATGTTCGATCAATAATGGTAGTGGTGATGGTAACTCCACTTCCAGTTGATTCATCTCAAACCGGGCATAAAAGGTATTTATTTCCTCTAAATGAAGTCACCAATAAATGTGAGAGTGATCTGGCCCCACAACATCTTGTCACTCCACTGATTGCTGGAATTGATTTGCTTGATCTGGCTAGCCAGGCGGGTGTTGCCTTCCTCATCATGCCTTCCCAATGCTGTGTGCTTGATGGAAGAGATGACCGTCCCAGATAGGAACGCCCTGTGTTTGGTGAAGTTCAACCTATTTTCCAAAGCACCTGAAGGCCAGGCAAGAAATAATGGATGGAAACTGATGGAAAATAATGGATGAAACCTGGAAATAAGGAGAAATTTTCTGACAGTGAGAATACTCAACCAATGGAACCACTTGCCTTCAAAAGTCATAAGAGCTTCATTATTGGAAGCTTTCAAGAAGAGACTGGCCTGCCATCTGTCAGAAATGGTGTAGTAGAGCAAGGGTCTTCAAACTTGGCAAGTTTAAGACTTATGGACTTCAACTCCTAGAATTCCTGAGCTAACATGACTGGAGGAGGAATTCTGGGAGTTGAAATCCACAAGTCTTAAAGCTGCCAAGTTTGAAGACGCCTGGTGTAGTCTCCTGCTTGGGCGTGGGGGACGGTGTTGAACTAGGTGACCTACAAAGTTCCTTCCAACTCTGTTAATCTACCTAACTCTAAGCATCTCGGGTAAAACATCCCCTCTGATTTCGCTCGCAGCTCCAGCGCGTTTCCCTTTTGCTTCCCTTAACGTCCAAACAGCAAAACCTTCTGTGACGCGTTCCTGGAGCCGCTCTAGCATTTAATTCTCTATGGATAAAGACAGCCGTTCGCCGGTTTTAGGGATCCGTCCGTGTACTCATTCCGAAGTTTCTTGTTGCTTGGTTCCTTTAACCCGGAAATACTTTCGCAGCCTTGTCCACACAGCCCCCGAGAGAGAGAGAGAGAGAGAGGAAAGGGAATCGTCGATGCGCTGAAAGAAACGGAGGATGTCGGAGTACGAAGCTGTCCAGCGAAGCGTTCTTCGTATAAAGGGGGGCACCGACGGCGGGTCTGCGGGGAAACGGTGAGGGGAGCCTCCCAAGGCAGAAATTGGATAGGGGGCCGCGGAGACGCTGGTTTTGTTTTTCATAATCCTACGCTCGCCCCACTCTTTTGGGGGAGGCGGGTCTTCTTTTGCTGTTAGCCGAAAGGGAAATAATAAAATCTTAATTTCTAGCTTTGGTCTTCTGTCAGGAAGCCCTAACAATTTCAATTCAATGTGTGGAATGTGTGTTTGTGTTTATTTTCATAGTCATAAACTACACTGAAGATTTAATTTCGTTGTACGAGGTGCAGTGACACTAAACTAAACAACTAAACTAATAACAACAAAGAGTCCTCACGACCAACACTGCAAGAGAAGGACAGAAGGAGGAGTGATTAATTTGGCTGTTGCTGCTGCAGCAGCAAAAGCTCTTCATCAGCTATGGCAGGGATCCCCAAACTTGGCAACTTTTAACATAGCTGGCTGGAGAATTCTGGGGGTTGAAGTCCAAAAGTCTTAAAATTGCCAAGTTTGGAGACCTCTCAGCTATGGGAAAGCAAGGCGAGGCTGTCTCGAAAAGAAACTTAAGGCCCACTATTGGAAAGGCTTGGTCTTGCAATAATCACCCACACATTAAAAGGGCAGAGAGGCGAGGCCTTTGGGAAGTTGGTATGGTTTATAGGCTGAAAATGCTTCATTCCACTCCCCAGAATTAAGAAGTGGAGCTATAATTCATGATTAGGAAAGTGTTTTAAATTCCTCATTTCTGCTGTAAAGACCAGGTTATCCTTAGGCTTGTGCCAGTGTTCCAATTTGCCCTTTTCTTTAACAAGAAAATATAATAAAAGGGCATGAAAATGTAGAAATATGGTATTTTTTTCTATCGTGCTTTGTCAAAGAATTTTTACTTTATCTGAATGGTCTCTTTTTAGAAAGAAGAAGAAAGATAAAGAAAGAAGCAAGATTGTAGACCAGATTGTGAGCAGCAAGAAGCAGGAGGAAGAAGAGGAGAAGAAGCGGGCTCTAGACAAACGTACTCCAGCACAGTTGGCCTATGAAAAAATGCAGGAAAAGCGGGTTGGTATCTAAGAGAGAAAGAGGCCACTACAGAGAGTTTGGGTTAAAGGGAAACAAAAATCTTCCTTGACAAAATGACAATAACCTATAACACCTTTTTTATTTTATAGCAAATAGAACGAATCTTGAAAAAAGCATCCAAAACCCACAAGCAGAGAGTAGAGGTAAGTTCTTGCTTTGGGAGCTACATCTTCTTGCATAATGGCAAACTCTTGTTATGGCTTAGCATGCTGTATCACCCAACCTAAGATGCTTTTAAGGAGGAGAAAATATGGATGAGAATTTTCCTCTGTGGATAGATGTAGCCTTAAAATGTTAACTCTTGTACTGCGAATTGCTATTAAACCTTAGCTATTTGCAAAAGAAGATTAATCAATTTCTCCCCTCAATCTTCCTCACATCCTTCTGTATTATAGAACAGCCTGAGTGATTTTTCTGGTAGGCTGTTCTTTCTTAGTCATTAGTCATTAGAGAAAACACAGAACATAAGAAAGACCTTTGAGATCACATCCAATCCAACGTGCAATCTAGTGCAGCATTATACTGCAGCATTCCTAAAAGATGGCTATTTAATCTTTGTTTAAACATCTCTAGATAAAGAGAATCCTCCTTTGGCAATCTGTCCCATTAAATATATTTTATATTTTAATTTTTTCACTGCTCATCTCCCTCAGAGAGGAGCTCTGAGTTGTGTACAATATACCGAACAGCTTTTACTATTAGGAACTGATGTCCAATTAATGTCTGCTTTAAAACGAAATAATTTATAAACCCATCATTTCTTGACTTCTGGAACAAAACTGAAGTCTGTCCCACCTTAAGAGTTTGACAACTCTTTATAGATGTTTTAAGAATGCACATCTTCAGCCCTCTTTACCCTTCTGGTAAAGATCTAGGTAAACAATCAGATCAAGATAATTTATCTAGGTAAACAATTCCTTTGTTTTCAACCTTCTGGAAAATGAATGTCAGAAAAATACTGAATAATCTTGGGCAGTTTTGGTTATATGGAGCATGGACAAGTTGAATATCCCATGTTTTTCTTCCCTGAAAGTTTTCTAATCTGGTTGATGAAGGCATTATTTGAATTTTCTGTTATTTATAGCACACTCCCATAAAAATATCATAGTTTTCCATGTATTTTTACCCAGTGCTGTTGTCTGGAACCATGTGCTCAGTTAGCTGGATCTCTAAACAGAAGCGCATTTTCATTTAATACCATTACTCCTCCATCCATTTTGTCTGGTGTATTTTTTTTGAAATATATTTATTTAATATAATTTGTATTTACTACAATTTGACTCATAGTTTCATAATCTAAATCCACAATCATTAAAACAATTCAAAACAAGCAATAAAAATCACACAAATAAAAACTGGGAAGAGCTACCACTGCTCCACCACTGCCCTCAACTTGCAACTGTTTAACAATAGTTCAGAGGATACGATAAGTAATTTCTGTCCGATCCTCAAAGATACAACTATGACACCATCCAGCAGAGACATGATCGCAATGCAGGGGGTTGGCAACCAGCTCACATTTACTATATTTGCAATGTGTTGCAGTCACGGATCTTCCCAGCTGGCTTCCGGCAGTCAATTGGGGAAGCCATAATGACCAATTTGTTTAACAGTGGTAAAATGTTAATTAAATTTGGTTTGGTCACATGGTGACTCATTTAATGATCCATCACTTAGGGACTGAAGTTCCTGTCCCAATTGTGATTAAGTCAAGAACCACCTGTATCCCCTTTTCCTTGAACTCTTAGCAGAAGAGCAGTCCTTAACCACCTTCCAAATATTCAAGAAAGGCCCAACCTAATTTTGCAAGAGGTGGCAGACAAGTTGTTCAGTAGAGTTGGGGCAAACATCAATTCTCAATCCCTTCATTTCATGCCAAGTAAGGTGGGATCCTCAGTGTAGTTTAATGAGACATATAACTTCTGTAATTACATGTTCATCATTGGGTGTCTATTGGATCTCTCCCAGGGCCAGTTTACACATAGCATCGATGCTATTTTCTGAGCTCTTTTCATTACTTCCAAATGTGTATCCTTGTGATTAGGCTGTTAAAAAAATTATGTCTAATATATTAAAAGTTTCTTATTTTGGATTAATTGAGATTGAATACATACAAGCTAGATTCATTGAAATCAGAGGGATTTTATGTACTCACAAAGAAATTTATTCAAATAGATCTTTGCTGAATCTGGATATTTGTACTCTGTAAAGTAATGAGTTCTTGCTTCCGACTAATATTCTTTTTCTTTCCTAGGATTTTAATAGACACTTGGATACCTTGACTGAGCATTATGACATCCCCAAAGTCAGCTGGACTAAATGAGCACCTTTTTCATCAACATTTCCTTCTGATATCTTTTGTTTCTGAAATAAGCAGACGTGTTGAGCTGCAACTCATTTGGCAGAATTGTTGTTTTCTTGTAACTTCCTTTTCTTGATCAAACTTGCTTTTAAAGAGACACATGGCACCCATTACTTTGCGTAACTGGCAGTTAGCTGTTTAAGTTATTTCTGCTTTATTGTTGCACATTTAAAGACAAATTAATCCTTGGCTAATTATAGACAAGATCAGGCACATACAAAACTTAGGATATATGCAGTCTGTTGCTGAAAAGCAGCTCAAGGACAATTTAAATGCTTAAGGTGGGAGAATTACTCTATGTACCCATTTTCTGATTGCTGCATTGTAAAAGTATGCAATAAATATATACAAAAGGAATAACCATATCAGCCAAAGCATTCATCCAGCATATTTCCATCATTTCTTAACACTCTGATCCAATGGCTTTACTGTCTCCTTGGTATACAATATCAACAATTCCTAAGAAATATTTGTAGAAGACAATTCTAATGACTCCTAGCTTCATCTACTGGAAGGACCACTGCATTCTCCACTGTGATTTGCTTATGAAAATGTTTAAATAAACTACAGTAATTAAAAATACATATCTTGATTAAAAGTAAAGAGCGAGCTTATACCACTGCAAAAAAGTGATATTGAAACTAAATGAGTTGACTAAAACCAGCAATATTGTTTTAATTCTTACCCACTTAAAGCCTGCCCCCATGTACGGGACAACAGGATAATCATTTTGCCTTTGTAGCACCAATGTTTAATTTTAAACCTAAAATCCAGAAAGGGACAAAAATGAACTGTAATGTAAACCCAAATTATATCTCAGTAAATATATGTACTATTGTGATCTTGTAGTTTTTGTGAACTGTTACAATCTTGTTAACGTTTTATCTTCTTTCAGTTGGGTTTTCCTTTAGTTGGTTTGTTGATCCCGTGTAGGGTTTTCCTCTTAAGGTGTAGAAGTGTGTTAGGGTGGTGCACCATTTAGGACAGTGGTGGCTAACCTTTTTGGGCTCCTGTGCCAAAAATTGTGTGCGCCCTTGTGTGCCAGCACCCAGAAGGCAATGCGTGCCCCCATGCCCCCTGCGCATAATCTCCCCACACACACCCCTTACTTGCACTGTGCCTCCCAGCTGATTTTCGGCCCATTTGAGGCCTTTTTCGTCCTCCCAGAGGCTTGAGGAAAACTTCTGCAGGCTTTGCAGGCCGAAAAATGGGCCCGTTTCATCACTTCCAGTATTACCAGAAATAGAGGAAGTGATGACAGGCCTATTTTTCAGCTTACATAGGCTTTCCTCAAGCCTCTGGAAGGCTGAAAAAGACCTAAACAGGCCGAAAATCAGCTGTGAGGCATGCACATGCACAGTGAGTTAAGTTTGCCTGCGGCTCACATGCCGGCACAAATGGCTCTGTGTGCCACCTGTGGCACATGTGCCATAGGTTCGCCATATGGATTTAGGGTCTGCAAGAATATGATAGTTATACCCAGCTGTAATACTTTAAAGCAGCCGTTCCTTCTCCTAAGAAAAGACACTTTTGTGTGTTGCATTCTCACTTCTACAGTGTCCAAGTACTGCAGTCTTACACCATGCATTAAATGCAGTGTGAAAAAACTTTGGATGAATCTGAAAGTTGTCAGTCTGATTTTCAAATTTCTTGTCTACTGTCTTGTCCCCACTCAGTGTCTTGTGCTAAGAAAGTTCTAATTTTGTGCATTTTACTTAAAGTCTAATCCTTTCAGTAGTTTGAGTTGGGTCACAGTTACACATATCCAATTATCTGATGGTGGTCCTGGATTGTTGGGTTTTCTACTGTGAGCAAATGGACAGGACAAATTAAAACATGCAATAATAGATATTCTAATTGAGATTTCCGTGTGTAAGTGGTTTTAGATGGGGAGATTCACTATTCTAAAAGGTGCAACTTGAGAGTAGCCCAGAATTGTTATTGCAGCAGAAAAGGCCTTTTTGCTGTTTGAGTTACCAGGCACCTGTTGCAAACTTGGACATTGCCTCTAAAACAACATTCTTTCATTATAGTCTTCAACTTACAATCATTCATTTAGTGACTGTTCAAAGTTACAATAGCACTGAAAAAATTGATTTGTGACTGTTTTTCACAAGACCAGTACAGCATCCCCATAATCCCCGTGATCAGAATTGAGATGCTTGGCAATTGGTTCATATTTATGATACCTACAGTATCCCGGGAGGAGGGGTGTGTGTGTCATGTGATCACCTTTTGCAACCTTCTCACAAGCAAAGTCAATGGGGAAGCCAGGTTCCTTTAACAGCCATGTTACTAAACAACTGTGGCCAGAAAGTTCATAAAATGGGGCAAAAGTCACTTAACTGTCTTGCTGAGCAACAGAAAATTTGTGCTCAGTTGTTGTAAGTCGAGGACTACCTGTAGCATCTTCAATATGTTCACACATAGTTCTGCTATTGTGAAGCAAAGATTATGCCAGTCAGTACAAAATTGCCAGTTACTACCAAAATGCCAGTTACTACCATGTTTTCCCAAAAATAAGACCCAACTGGAAATAAGCCCTAGCATGATTTTTCAGGATGCTTGTAATATAAGCCCTCTGTCAGGGTTCTGACGATTGCCCTAATTATTCCTATGCCTGTTTCCGAGTTGCCACCCTACACCAAAAATAAGTCCCAGTTAAGATCATCAGCCAGAGTTAGTACCGTATTTCCCTGAAAATAAGATCTAACCTGAAAATAAGCCCTAATGTGTCTTTTGGAGCAACATACTATAAAACTGGGTCTGATTTTGGGGGAAACAGTACCTGGAGCCACACACATTTTAAATATGCCCTTTTCAGCTTCAATACAAGGCGCTAAATTTAGCCACTGGAGCCATCAAAAACCAAGCTCAAAAACCAGCTACTGAACACACCATTTCATGCTCTTCCTCTCCCATTCACGTTCTGTTCAGCAGCTGAAACCACACACCAGAGATAATTTTTCTCTTCCCGTTTATCAACACAGCTTTCATCATCAGCTGTCTTTTTTGTATTTATTTAAGAATGCCACAATCAAGGAATATGTACTTTAAAAAAATTATTATTAGATCAAAAATCATGTTACAGGATTCTCTTACAGGAGCCAGAAAGTTTTAATACAGATTGGTTTGGGCAATTTTTCCCCACCTTGTAAAATTGAATAAATACAGAAGTAAAAAAAAAACACAAGCAACTCTTTTCTGATCAGAGCACAAGGAAGTAGACCAACAGGAAAATGTGGGGTTTTTTTCCTCTGCACCTGAAATCTTCAAGGAGATGAGCCAAAAAGGACATTATTTAGAGCATTGGTCTAAACTAGAAAAACAGTTGTAGCCTTTGTAATTAAGGCACCCACCGTGGAATCCAGTGCTATGAAAATTAAAGCCCATTTGTCCAAGAAAACAATCCAGCCATCCCCTGCCCCTTACTGTGCCCCTCTTCCCTATCTGCTCTGGAGGAGATTTGGAGGGCATTTGCAAGGATTAGGGTGGGGAGAGAACTCACTCTATTCCAGTTGTACTGATAGAAATATGTTTCCAGCCTTGAACTGCCTCTAAGGAATGTGCAGGCTACTTTATTATTTTTCGTTACATTTTTGCAAGGAAATTTCCCTTGTTCACAGTAACACCCAGGAATCTAAGGCAGAAAAGATTCTCTGGCACTGCGTAAAAGAAACCAAGGACATGAGGCTACCACAGAGGATCCATCCAGATCCACACACAAGGCAAATGTATTTTGTGCTGCAAACCGCCATGAAAAGCACCCTAACTGACAAAAAGCCATTTTCTGCAGAACACCTATGGACTGCGTGTTTCCAGTACTGGATGGGCCTAGCACCTTGGAAGGATCCACATACAAAAAAATAAAAATAAAGAGGATTAAAAAAACAACTTTTCCAGTTTCACAATGTGCTTGTCATATAGAACAGGGTAAGAACAGAAGCCTACGTTCAGTTTGTGCCTAAAGCCTTAATATTTCAAAGTGGGGGAGAAAAGAATTGGTCCCATATTTGCTCTTTGCAGAATGTGAAAGAAAAAGAAAAGAAAAGTGGGTTCAGAAAAAGAAGCTGCCAATCCAAACATGACTGTCAGGGTTTTCTTGACCTTCAAAGTCTGGGTGCCTTCCCCACAGATTTATATGCTGCCCAGTTCACAGAGGGTTTGATCCAACGTTCGGTGCAGAGTCAAATTCTCTTCTTTCGCTAGGGCAACTTTTTCTGGTGAGAACGGGAAAAAATATTAAGAAAAGAAAAAACAATTTCAAAAGAATAGGACAGGTTCTGAATTCACACTCTAATTCATGTTCCAATTTTAGTTGCCTCTGTTTAAAAATAGCCCAGGGATGGGATTTGACTGGTTTGGCTGAACCCCTGGCAGCGAACCAGTTCACTGCAACTATCATGTGGGCCCGCCCCTGCGCTTTACCTCCCTATATCTTCTCAGCTGACTAGTGCGGCACAGTGGATTACCGCTTCTTAGCTGTGTTATTTGAGTGCTGTGCACATGTGCATAGCGCGCAATCAACCAACCAGTTGTTAAACCTGGAAAATCCCACCCCTGAAACAGCCATGTTCCTTCAATTACATCTTTCCTCTTGATCTTATGTTATTCTTGTGCCTGATACATTCATCTCAAAGGGTCAGCTGAAGGAAAGAAACCTGTTCTGGGATGGTGAGATTTAAGCAAGAAACACCCAGGAAGTCTGACAAACTGAGGAGCAAAGGTGCCACAACCCTTTATTACCGGAACTAAATTAGTGAAAGATTTAAGTCAGCGAGAGTCACAGTTGTAGCTGTGTTCAAAGGTCATCAAAGCTCAACCCACTGCTCGAAGGAGGAACTAGCTGGAGATAGATTTTATACTCCTAAAAAGGGAAAACTCCAGACTGAATTTCCCACAAAATGGCCTGATTCAGTGATGGGATTCTACCAATTTCCCTACTGGTTCGATGATCGCGCACTTTGCACGTGCACGCACACCTAACATGCACGTGTGCACAGGTTTTCACATACCAGCTGAGGCTGTGCAGTGCCAATCAGCTGAGAGGATAAAGAACAGAAAAGCGCAGAGGCAGGCGGGAGACCAATCCTGTGCTGATCATTGGAGCTTTTTTTAAACTACCAGCAGCAATTTTTGTTACCGATTTGGCTGAACCGGCCTGAACTGGGAGCATTTCACCACTGGTCTGATTTCATTGGGTTAGGGAAGGGGTCCCCAAACTTGACAACTTTAAGACTGGCATAGCTGGCTGTAGAATTCTGGGAATTGAAGTCCACAAGCCTTAAAGTTGCCAAGTTTGGAGGCTTCTGGGTTAGGGTGATTTCCAGATCCAAATGGAAAATGAAAATTTTATTTTCAGGAGAGTTATAGACATAATCTCCAACTCTATACTGTTCTATTGAATCAGTGTTCAAGCTAAAGTGAAAGAGACTGTCATTTTATACAGGAAACAAAGAACAAATGCCTTGTACATCATAAATGGCAAGTGAGAAAAGATTCCTGAAATATATATATATATATTTAATTGAAGTGCAATTTTTACAGAAAAAGACTTGTGAAAGCACACAGAGAAAAAGGAAAGCAGAGGCTGCTTAGCAAAAAACTCCAAGCAGGATAGAAAGCCCCACTGTATTTATCTACTACAAGGAAGTCATATCATTGAGTGCGTGGTCCAATTCCTCGCTGATGGCCTTGTATTTCAACTTTTGAGCATACAGCTCATCTGCAGGGCAAAGTGTGGCGAGAGAGGCAGGATGAAATGCCGAAATAACAGGCGCATAGGCAAGTTCAGAGATGTTGCCACAGAGCAAGGAGAGGTGAAAGAGAAAAAGAAAGGGAAAGAAATGAATGTTAAAACACAGAAATGCAAGATGAACATGAAAAAGTAACAGAAAGTTTGGAATGTTGGAAAGATTAAACATTCAATTTTCAGAGCATGAAGAACATTTTAAATTTCAGCTGCTTACACTGGCCTGTTATAATTGCCCTGGACTTGACTGGACCCCAAAGAAGGTTGTTTCAAACATAAAACATTTCCAAGTAATCAAATCAGGATATTTCAAATTTGGGACAGCTGTTTTGACCTTGGAAGGCACTTTGCCTTCAAAACAATTCTAATTCAAAACATTTTGTACTCCCCTATTCAATATTATATATGCTACTTTGAGCTCTTAAATCTTTCATTAAATTATTGCAATATTTTTTAAAACTCCAAATGCTATGCAAATTGCAAAGAATGAGCTTTGTTCACCTGAAAACCAACCTATCAAATTAATGACAAAAATGAAAAATGTTCCATCTTAATTATTCTTATCCCTAGGTGCTGTATTACATTGTACCAAGATACTGAGCAAGACTGCCATAAAACACTCTAGGGCAGGAAAAAGCCTTCTAGATCAGGGGTCTCCAACCTTGGCAACGTTGACTTATGGACTTCAACTCCCAGAGTTGAAGCTGGTGAAGGTGGCTGAGGAATTCTGGGAGTTGAAGTCCAGAAGTCTTAAAGTTGCCAAGATTGGAGACCCCTGCTCTAGATGCCAATTCACAGAAATGTAATGATGCAAAAAGTATCCCATTAAAAGTTTTCCACACCAAGCTTCAAAAGCTTTATCCCATACCTTCCAAATCATCAATGCTCTTTTCCAGTTTAGCAACTGTTCTCTCTGCAAACTCAGCTCGTGTTTCAGCCTAATAACAGACAAATAAAGCAATGAAAAGGTTGTACTACGGATCCGACGTCACTTTTCCTCCTCCCATCTCTAAGCCCAGAAGATCACTGGCCTCACTCACCTCCTTCAGCTTGTCAGTCAGAAGTTTGATCTCCTCTTCATACTTGTCTTCTTTTTCAGAATACTATGGAAACAAGGTTAACATCAATCATTTTGTTTGTAAGAGGAGGGGAGGAGAATTCCAGGAAAAAAAGGAACTGAAACCATCTCATTTCTTAATTATTTATATATTGGACTTCCTCTAGGATGAAGTCCAGGGACACCAACTCCCTCTTTTACTGAGACCCATGGGCCACCCATAATATAGGCCAGTGGTGGCTAATGTTTTGGGCTCCTGTGCCAAAAATTGTGCGCGTACTTTCACGCTCATACTTGTGTGCCAGCACCTGGAAGGCAATGCGTGTGCCCCCCACGTCCCCTACGCATGCGCGCACAATCCCCACCCACCCGCACCCCACCCCTTACCTGCACTGCACCTCACAGCTGATTTTCGGCCGGTTTGAGGACTTTTTCGGCCTCCCAAAGGCTTGAGGAGGGCTTCTGCAGGCTTCTACAAGCTTTGTAGGCTGAAATCTAGCCCTGTTTTCTCACTTCCTGTTTTTCTGGAAAAAAATGGAAGTGACGAAACAGGGATAGATTTCAGCCTACAAAGCCTGTAGAAGCTTAGAAAAGCCTTCCTCAAGCCTTTGGGAGGCCGAAAAAGTCCTCAAACTGGCCGAAAATCAGCTGTGAGGCACACACATGTGCAGTGAGGTAAGTTTTCCTGCAGCTTGTGTGCCGGCACAAATGGCTCTGCATGTCACACGTGCCACAGGTTCGCCATCACGGTTATAGGCTCACTAAATGTCAACAACATTATTTAAAGATGAAGAAGCAAAACAGAAGCATTAAATCATTATTAAAAACACCTCATGTATTTATGATGGTTGCAGTGTCTGGGGGGGGGGGTTGTCATGTGATCACCTTTTGCAACCTTCTGACAAGCAAAGTCAATGAGGAAGCCGGATTCACTGAACAATCATCTTACTAACTTAACAACTGCAATGATTCAGTTAACCGCTGTGGCAATAAAGGTTGTAAGATGAGGGCAAAATCACTTAACAACTGTTGCTCAGCAATGGACATTTTGGGCTCGGCTGTGGTTGTAGGTTGAGGACTACCTGGGTACTGGCAAAGATACATTGTTGAAAGACTTATTTTGCCTTGATCAAACTTAAGAACATCTACAGGTAGTCCTTAATTTACAACAGTTCATTTAGTGATGGTTCATAGTTACAACGGCATTGAAAAAAATGACTTATGACCATTTCCCCACTTAAAACCATTGTAGTCGTCCCATGGTCATATGATCGAAATTTAGATTCTTGGCAACTGGTTCATATTTATGACAATTGCAGTATCCTGGAACCACGTTTTCCCTTTTGAGACCTTTTAACAAGCAGACTCAATGGGGAAGCCACATTCCCTTAACAACCATGTTACTAACTTAACAAATGCAGCGATTCACTAACAACTGTGGCAAGAAAGGTCATAAAATGAGGCAAAATTCATCTAACAAATGTCTCATTTGGCAATATAAATTTTGGACGCCATTTTTGTTCTATGGTCCCTAAAAGCAAACACTGACGGTACAGTATAATCGTTGTCCTGCAATACCGTCCTGTTGCTTCCTAGGACAGGATTGACATAACTGTAGCAGGTGAGGTTTTTTGTTAAATGTGTGCATTCCCCTGGTTTTTGAGAGGCTATCCAGCTCTAAGAAGAGCTCATAACGCATACAATACTCTCTTCTCTAATTGTATCTCCACCAGTCCACGGGGACAAGAGGCAGTGACCTCTAGTGAGCTTCCATGGCCGACCCTTGATTTCAATCTGATTCAGCATTCAGACCTCTATATGTGGCGTTCACTAAACCTCCATGCATAGAAAACCTGCCAACTCATCCTCCAAGTGATGGATTCAAAGATCAAAACAGTCTTGTGTGAGATGGTGCTAATGATGCATGGAGGGCAAGGAAAATATTTATCCCTGTTTTATTACCCTGAAGGGATGGGCTTCCAATCCATGGTCTGTTGATGTATTTTGCAATAGGGGCCTGTCCCAGATGCGTGTATGCGTAGAGAAGTGCGGAGAGGAGAGCAATGTAGCAATAGATGGTATTTAGTATTTTTATATTCTAGTAGCATATGGAACTCCCTTTAAAAAATCAGACTGTACTAAAGGCTGATCAAATGTGTCATCAAGTTGGTGTCAACCTTTAGTGAGGAAATTACCTCAGTGGTTCATTATAAGAGCAGAGCTCTATCCATCCCATCTATGCTTGAACCAGTGGTGGGATTCAAACGTTTTTACTACCAGTTCTGTGGGTGTGGCTTGATGGGTGTGGCAGGGGGAGGATATGGTAAAATCTCCGGTCAGAGGTGGTATTTGCCGGTTCTCCGAACTACTCAAAATTTCTGCTACCGCTTCTCCAGAACTGGTCAGAACCTGATGAATACCACCTCTGGCTTGAACCTTTAAAAAAAAAAAAAACTGAAATTCAATTCCTGACCCTTAAAAGGTTAGGAACCACCAACCTTCTCTGATTGAGCTTCAAGGGACTTCAGGTTGTTGGTGACATTCTTGAGTTCTTCCTCCAGGTCACTGCATTTCCTACGCAAAGCAATATAAATCATCCGCTATCAGCTCCTGGTCTTCTATTTGTTAAATGAAAACATCATTGCCCTCAGAAGTTTCAAGAACCTCTTTACTGACCCACTGTTTCACCTATTTTGTAATTTATTTATATCCAGCATTCTTACATGTAAAAAATCTCCAGAAGACCACCCATAATAAAAACGTAAAACATTTTCAAAATATGAGGTGTGAGGAAAATTAAAATCATTCCCATATAACAGTAAACCATCCCCCACCGCCAGTCCTGAGGGAAAAAATGTGATTTCAGCATGCATTAAAAGAAGATTTGCTTTCAGAAGTTAAAGATTATCTTAAATATAAGAACCATGGTGGCGCAGTGGTTGGAATGCAGTACTGCAGGCGGACTTTGCCCACAGTTTGGAGTTTGATCCTGATGGGACTGAAGGTTGACTCAGTCTTCTATCCTTCCAAGGTCAATGAAATGAGAACCCAGATTGTTGGGGGCAATATGACGACTCTGTTAACTGCTTAGAGAGGACTGTAAAACACTATGAAGTGGTATATAACTCTAAGCGCTATTGCTACTATCTGGAACCAGTATTGGGATGGTTCCAGATAGTGGGGGAGGGATTTCCCTGCAACCCTGGACAG